ACCACGTTGGCAGGGGAAATTCATTAAGGGGGATTGGGGGGATTAAGGAGGATTTTCAAAATAAAATGGCCCTTTAAAAGGCCAAGTGCTTTGCCACATGACCTGGGAGGGAGGGAGGGAGGGGAAGCTCCCCTAATGATGAGAGTTCTGGCTGCCAGCCCTCACCCCACTGATTTGGGGTCAAACCCTTGTCCTGCTCAGCCAAGCAGCAAGTTTGGGGTTCCTGCTGGGATTGGGGCGGGGGGAGGGGGATCAGCCCCCAAAATCCCCCCAGGATGCTTGGAAGGAGTTGTGGGCGTGAGGAGGGGGAGAAGGTGGGTTTGGGTTGAAGAGGGAGGAAGGAGACACCAAGAGAGCCCAGCCAGGCTCCCAGGAGCCTGGACAAAAAGCAAAGCTCGTGATTCCTCCGTTTTCCACAAAAAAAAAAACTCCTCATAAATTGAGGGGCTTCCAGAATTTGGGAGGGGGGGGAGAAAAGCTCGTGGGGAGGTTGGGGCTGCAATTCCAGCTGGGAAATGGGTGGCTTCGTGTCTCCCCCTCGGTCTGAGCTTCTTCAGCCTCATCCCCCCCCAAAATCGTGGGCTCAGTCCCAGAGAGTCCACAAAGATGGACAGGACAGAGGGATGGAGCAGCTCTGGTGTGAGGAGAGGCTGGGAGAGCTCACCTGGAGAAGGGAAGGTCTCCCTGGAGCCTCTTCCAGGGTCTAGAAGGGGCTCTGGGAGAAGAGCTGGAAAGGGACTTGGGACAAGGAGTGGAAGGACGGGAGACAGGGAATGGTTTTATACTGGAAAAAGGGAGATTTAGGTGGGATATTGGGAAGGAATTCCCGACTGGGAGGGTGGGGAGTCCCTGGAATGGATTTCCCAGAGGGTGCCCCATCCCTGGAAGTGTCCAAGGCCAGGTTGGAGCCACCTGGGATAGTGGGAGGTGTGAAATCAAGATGAGCTTAAAAAGCTCCCTCCTAACCCAGCCCGTTCTGGGATTCTGTGACAAAAAAAAAACCCAGTGAAAGAACAGGTATTTCTGGGCAAAAAGACAACAAGAGAGCAGTCACAGCCCCTGGGACAAAGCCAGATCTCCTCCCTCAAACAAAGGGACAAGCACAGGGTAACATCCAACTCGAGTTTAATCAGCACAATTGGGCTCCACCAGGCAGAGATCTCACCCCTCAGAGAAGAAAGCGAGGTGTGTTTTCGTGTCCCCGGCACACAAAAATCGAGCATCCCC